TTATTTTTTTTTATAAAAAATTGTATAATAATGATGATACTATAGAGGATGTTAACTTAGACAATCTATTTGAAAATATTGATATTCCAAAGTTAAATGTTACAGAATCTGAAAACTTAGAAGGTCCTATCTCTATAACTGAGGCATCAAAAACTCTTTATAATATGAAAAATAATAAAAGTCCTGGCTCCGATGGATTCACAGTCGAATTTTTTAAGTGCTTTTGGAAACAGTTAGGCATTTTTGTAGTAAGATCTATTAACAATAGTTATGAAAATTGTGAATTATCTGTAACTCAAAAGCAGGGCATAATTACTTGTTTACCAAAGGGAGATAAGCCACGTCAATTCCTAAAAAAACTGGAGACCAATTTCTCTTTTAAATATAGTACATAAAATAGCTTCTGGAACAATAGCAGGTAGAATAAAAACAGTCTTAGATAAACTTATTAATACTGATCAAACAGGTTTTATTTCTGGGCGTTACATTGGGGAAAACACCAGGTTAATCTATGATATAATGCAATTTACAGAGGAAAATAATATACCAGGGATGTTACTCATGATAGATTTTGAAAAAGCTTTTGATTCTGTATCCTGGAAATTTATTGATGAAGTATTGGATTTCTTTAATTTTGGACATAGTATCAAAAAATGGGTAAAAACTTTTCAAAAAACTCTAATTCGGCATTAATCAGGGGGGATATCTGTCAAAATTCTTTGATATAAAAAGGGGTTGCCGACAAGGTGATCCGATATCACCTTATATTTTTATCCTCTGTTCGGAAATTTTGGCAATCAAATTAAGAAATAACAAGAATATCAAAGGCTTAAAAGTACTTGAAGCTGAACAACCTATTTTACTTTCACAATATGCAGACGACACATCTTTAATTCTGGACGAATCAGAAACATCACTAAGAGAATCTATAAAAGAATTAAAATACTTTGAAAAAATATCCGGATTAAAAATGAATTTGGGAAAAACCGAAGTAGTTTGGATAGGGAGTAAAAAATGTATTGATGAGGTTATGGCTAATGAATGGAATTTATAGTGGTGACATAGAATGTTTACACTTCTGGGCATTGATTTTCATATTGATCTACATCGTATTCCAAAAATAAATTTTGATAAAAAAACTAGTAAAACTTAAAGCTTTGATGAAGACTTGGAGTAGGAGAATACTTACACCAATAGGGAGAATAAATATAATAAAGTCTATCCTAATTTCTCAATTTAATCACTTATTTATCGCTTTACCAAATCCTGATAATACATTTGTCAAAAAGATAAATACAGAAATATATAATTTCCTCTGGAATAGTAAGATTGATAAAATTAAAAGAGATGTAATTATTAAAAACTTTTCTGATGGTGGTCTCAAAATGATTCATATTAAATCATTTATAGACTCA